TACTGAGCAAAGCAGTAAGAAATTTCTTCTGTGTGAATACAGACAAGTATCCCATATTCTTGGATGAAGAACTTGTGAAAGATGAAGTGTGCAGAAATTTAGCAGCTTTTTCATTGTTTGTAATGAGTTAGAAGAGTAGGATTATGAATATATATAGATTGGTTTAAAAGAAAATTTGTCACAGATATATAAAAGAGAACATGGAACAAAACAACACTTCTAACGTCATTTCTTGAAAATAGGGAATCATAGCTATATTTTTTGTAGTTTTAAGATGTACTACCTCATTAACCCTGGTAGAATATGCAAAGTGAGTTTTTTCCTAATATAGAATTAATTTGGTTGTCATTATTGATTAATATGCACTAGGGTACCACATCCATCCCATCTAGTCATGAGTATACATATGATATTCAGCACTGCAAATGTATATATAACAGAAAGTCCCAAGCACAGTCAAGAAAAAATGAAGATACAATAAACAGAGTGGAAAGAATTATGGCAGCTAATAAGAATTTCATAGAAACACATTAGACAAGAGGAAATGCATTCATGTTGTGCCAGGGGAGGTTTAGATGGGATAGTAGGAAAAATCTTTTAATTGAAAGAGTTGTCAAGCATTGGAACCTGCCCAGGGAGGTGGTTGTGTCATCATCCCTCCAGGTATGGTGCAGTTGTGACACTTAAGGACGTGGTTTAGTGGTGGATTTGGCAGTGCTAGATTAACAGTTGGACTCGAAGATCTTAAAGGTCTTTTCCAACCAAAACAGTTCTATGACGCTATGATTCTATGAATCTGTGGATGATGAAGAAACATGCCATATTCCAGTACTTCTTCCCTGACTGCCCACATCTGACCATTGCCAGAAGTAAGATAAATGGGTGTTTGGTCTGATTTAGTATGGTTGTTTCTACCTTCTTAGACCAGTCAATCTTATCATATTATAAAAAACTGTAGAAATTTTACACTACTTTATTCTCTCCCACCTCCACTAGATCACTTATTACCTATCAGACACCAATCTTTAAATGTAGCCCGGGGAAGGGTCTTCAAATTGTCATGCTGGTTAAGTAATACCAGATATTGATGTTCTTAATGACTATCTATAACACTTAGAATTAATACTATTTGTACTAATGTAAGTAAACTGTTCATTTCTGTTTTCATTAGTGTATTCTGGACAATCCTTTCAGACAAGTCACCAAAGTGAACTTGGAAATGTAGGAGAACCATGACTGTATAAATTCAGGTTTTACTTGACTATAATATGACCTTTGTTTTTGTGACAGCGGTTAAGTTTAGGTTCACATGAAACTTTGTGTAGATATTGGTTTGTCATCAGAGTTCATAATGTCAGCTAATGCAACTTTCCCATATGTTCACTCCAGTATCTTTACAGCTTATTACTAGAGAGTCATAGTAGGGAATGAGTTTGGGGTAGCACTCATTCCTGTATACACAGGTAGGTAGTACCACTTGAGCTGGCCTAGAGAAATGGAGATTTTTGCATAGTGGTAGCAGGTATGTAGTAAATGAGCAGAATATTCTCCACTCCTGATGGAGCATGTGGAGGTCAAGTGAGATATCAGAAGGTACCTAAAATGGCACCATATGTGTGTTTAGGCAATTACAGTGAATTCCAGTGTGTGCATCATATTACCACTATGTTTTTCTTCTTAGCATTGCATAGGAGAATTTTAATGAACATTGCAAGTACTGAGTTTTCATCATACAGACTAAATTAATTCAGACTAAAATAAATCAAAACTGTAATTTCAGTATTAGTTTCTACAAACTGTGAGAATGCATATTCTGTATGTACATTGCAGATAGGCTGGAACCACAGGCAGTACATACAATCTCTGCCATAAATCTGTGCTGAGTCATTTTATATCACTGCTGGTTAGTCCAGAGCATGACACTCACATTTGTGTGGTTTTATAGCTGCCAAAATTATTTCCCTTTCATGTCTTCAATCTCAGTGGATAGTTCAGCATTTCTTTGAAATTCATGGAAGTTAGATTTACAAATATGTTGAACTTCCTTACTTCCTCTGGGTTTTGAAAGGTCAGCATTTGAAAATCAGATGGATTTATGAAACAGGAAATGGAGATCCAGTCTGTAGCATCTGTAATGCATCCTGGAGTTAAGCTAGCAAGAAAAAGGGGTTTGTCCTACTTCACTGTGAGCTCAAGTTTGGCATTATCTTTTAGGGATAGTTGTCTTGGGGAAAGGGACAAGGCAGTACAACCTGAAGGTGAAAGATCTCAGACGGATCAAGGTTTCTCAGAAGACATCTAGCAATCTCCATGTGTAATTCTTTGTGGTCCTTTGCTACAGCAACTCATGTTGTCTCTGTGCTCGTGCTAACCCAATGCTGATTGACGCAAACACAAGAACAGAGTGAGGCCCAGTGTTGAAGTACTGTGTGTACTGGTACAGAACTGCATGAACCAACTTGGGTTTTTATTTGCATACATTTTTCAGACTCATTTGCGAACTCAGACTGATGTAAAGCATTTGTTGTGATTAAATACAGTTGTTAATCATGACTAGTCTCTAAAGATGGCAATTCAGGAAGTTCTTTGTCACTCAGTGCTGTTTATGAAGCGGTCATTTATGGATCTTTATTCCAGCTGAGTCCATTGCTTTAATTATACACAGGCCACTCAGAAAGTTACCTAGGCAACCCTTCAACTGGTCCTTTTGAGCTCAAATTTTACCTCAGTTGTCATATTTCAAAGCTGAGCATACATCTCAGGTTGATTTTCACACTCCAACGGCACCTACCAGAATGGAAAAGGAACGGATTTGGTTTTTAGGAAGTAGCCTCACAAACTCCTGCACGATCCCAGTCCCCCAAAAATCAGGCTTTAGTAGATTGCAGCAGTGAAAGACAGATCATCTGTCAACTTTGGTAAAGAGCTGAAAGCTAAAGGCAAAAGCTAGCCTGATAAACTGCTCAGGAGCCTCTTCAGTACTGTGTTTTTATTTTAATTATACCTATTATGACCTGATCACTTTACTGTCATCTTACAATCATGCAACTTGGGAGTTTCACAAAGCACAGGGTTTAACAATACTGTCCTCATGTTGACATCAACACATAACTGCCAAATTAGCTGCAGCTTGCCAATCTGTCAAGAGTTAAACAGGGATTTGGTTCCAGTCCACCAGTGTCAGCTGATACAGTCATGATGGAAGAGCCTGAGCTAAGATCTGGTAGGTACTGATCAGTTCAGGTATCTGAGTAGTATAACAACTCAGGAGTTCATAATAGTGGAATAGTTAATACTGGTTATTTCATCAAAACTAGCAGTAAGTAGAGAATGTTATGAACAATACCAACTTACAGTGACATTTCATCAACTCCTTTGCTTAGAAAAAAATAGCTGATGTGGTCATTCAGAAGACTGCTTCTTATAGAATTGTCATAAGGTTTATGTAAGCAATCTTAAGTCAGGTCAATAACTGACAAGAAACCTGTATTACAAATCTATGGGAAGAGTAATTTGCACACTGCAGAGAGGACTGAATTCTCAATTATTATCTTTTTGCAAAAGAAGAAAACAAGAACACTACATGAAGAAGTAGTTGTGTACCTCTCGTTCTCAAACAAACACAGTTTTCACCAGGTACTCTTTTTTGGACTTCTTTAGCTTTCACTGAGCTCTCTAGGAATCTTTCCACGGGCTTAACAGGATTTGCATTACACACATCTATGTGAAAGAAATGTTTAGGCCACTTTTTCTGTTGCCTTATTCTGTGGTGTAAGTTAGGTCCATGTGCAATTCTGGAGACATTGCCTAACTGTTAAAAGTTAAGAAGTTATTTCAATACATACACCCAAAAGTCTGAATCATGCTCACTTTGCTTTCTTCCTGTGGCAGTCTGAGAGGGCTACATTTTGTTAGCAGAAGCAGTCTAAGGAAAGAGAAGTGTGTGGCAGCCAAAAGGTTTTCTGTCATGGGAGAAGGCCCCTATACACCTACTCTGTAATACAGTTGACAGGTGAAAAGCATACACATAAAAGGAGACTATAGATTCATGTGAAAATCAGCTACACAAATAGGAGAGGAATATATGTCCTTTAGTTTTAGCAGCAAGTTGTTAAGAATACTGCTGCACTGTGGCTGGTCTAAATATGAAGGGCTCCGGCTGGAGATAAGGAGAAGCCTTTTCCCCACAAGGAGAGCTCAGTAGTGGAGCCAGGGTCCAGGAGGATGGGCCATCTCCATCCTTGGTGGTTCCACAGTTTGACTGGGCAGAGTCCTGAGCAGCACAGTCTGATCCCCCCAGCTGAGCAGTGGAGCTTCCCAGGTCCCTGCCAGACTGAATGACCCTGTGGTCCTATGAACAAGAAAATACATTTCTATCTATCTATCTATCTATCTATCTATCTATCTATCTATCTATCTATCTATCTATCTATCTATCTATCTATCTATCTTTCTCGCTCTCTCTCAACTTTTAAAGCTACACACAGAAGCTTAGATGGTTAGATATATGCACACTTATATATATGCATATATATGTTTGTGTGCATACACAATGTACACATTACCTCTATCCCTGTCCCTATCCCTATCTCTATATATGTGGCCAGGCTTGATGCACTCCAGACCAGTTTTGATCCCTGACTAGACCAGCCCACATCCCAATGGAGAGCTTGTGGGAAGGCTTATCAGAGGCACAAGGTTCCCCTCCAGGGAGAAGGCACCACACTGCTCTGTGGATCCCACAGGACCAGCATCACCGTCAGCATAGCTGCAAACAGGTATCCTCAGGCAGCCTGTGCTGCAGGGATACTTCATAGTCTGGCCAAAATCTTTTTACTCTGTCCTAGCTAATGTTGTTTGGTAGGTGTGGTGTTAATGCAATGTTTTCATACCCATGGGTTCTCACTGAAACACAGCACAGTCCTCTGGACTCCTCTTTAAAGAATCCCTAACCTCACTCATCCACTTCAATACTCTGCTCACTGTGGCTTTTATTACAGAATGAAGAGGATGAGGACCATCCTCTCAGCCTGGCCTGGCCTGACAGCCCACGCAAGAAGCTCACCTATCTTCTTGTATTACCCATTGTCTTTCCACTGTGGGTTTCACTCCCAGATGTCAGAAAACCTGTAAGTAACTGTTGTGAGCCAGTGTGTTCTGTACAACAGAGCAACTCTCTAGCTAAACACTAAAAAGGGACTGTAGTAGATTTATGTAAAAATAGAGCTAATAATTTTTTAAAAATAGTTTCTTCTTTGAAGAAGAAGTCACAACACCAGTCTTCAAATCTTCAAATGGGTGCTTATGAACAACTGGTTGGTAATAGCTCTTTAAAGATTACCATTTGTAATCACTAATATTTTATGACATAAAGTGAAAGCTCTTAGAACTTCTTTAGGGCCTTCACATCTTCATTTCTAGATCTCCACTGAATATCACGTAAGTGCTGAGGGAGTCTGTTCATCTGCAGTGCCCTAGAGGGTACAACTGGTAAGACTTTAGACTGTCTAATCTTCTCTGTGGTTCAAAAATAATGATAAACATTTCTCTCAAATGTATATTCTACTAGACCATTGTCTCCTGCTTGTCATCTTTTAATTTTCATACTATGACAAGATCCATGCGTAAAATACTTGCTAGTTTTGTCCCAAACACAGCTTGAAGTAATGTAAGATTGTTTATTAATACAAATGACTTATTGTGACAGATTGTCAAGTCTTACCAGTTCTATATTCACATATACAAATAGACCTGACTGAGGAGGCTCATTGAAAGTAGAAGAAAAAAAAGTCAAGAGCTGAGAAAATCCTTTAGTAGTGTTCTAATTTCTTTTCTTTTCTGGATCAAAAGTAGATTTAATACTGCTGCAAGAGAGGGATGCACAGTTTATAAGGTCATAAATCAACACCCTGAATTCTTTTTTCCTCCTCACACACACTGAAAAACTTTCCCATCCCACACACTGAAAAACTGCAGTTCAATGCAAGAAAGAAGCTAAAATAAGACCTCTGGTTTGTTTTTTAGATAAAGGTTTCTGAAAGGACATAAACTGACATTTTCCCTTCCAATCTTTAAGCTTTCTTTTCTTAGTTTTCAGGTAACTCTGGTAAGCACTTTTTGTTTGGTAACACAGAGAGCATACTATATGAATTGCAAGACTGTTTATTTCAGTATTTATGTCCTCCTTATATCATTCAAACACATCCCTGTAATTTTTTTCATAATTTGATGCAAAATGAGCAAGTACTGCTAAGAAATAAGTATGTGCATTAGTTTGAATTTTGAAAATCTGAAGCTAACATCAATAGACAAGTAGCCTTATCCAATATTTGGTACTGTACAAATGAGAACAGTTGTTACAATAATGGTTGTGGAAAGGGAATATCTTAAGAAGTTGTGTGCAACTGTGTGATGCGTGTGATTATTAACACTAGTATTGTTTACAACAGAAATGGCATGCTGACATCCTACAGTTAAAATACCCTGCCGTAACACAAAAGATAAGGATAGTTGTATATGCCAGATACTTCAATGGGCAATGGAGTTTTAAAATTTAATTAACTGAAAGGAGTAACTTTTTATACAGAAGTAAAAGAAATGTAGTTTTTATGATAAAAATAATATGTAGTTTTTTTAATGATAACAGAAGAGGTAACAGGCTGTATCAGTATGACAAGCTGATTTCTTGGAACATTGCTGTCAAAGAATTAACCAGATGGTTGCATAAACTGTCTAACTTTTCAACGACACTTTATTAGTGTGTTTGTCTCTAAAATATTCTCATTTATGCCTGTGTGCCATCCCCACTATTGCCTTCCTAACAAAACCAAAACCCAGTATCACAGTTCAGTATGTGCATTGGGAAAAAACTTTCCGTTAAATCTGTGAGGCAAAAGTTAAAACAAGCCTAAAATAATACTTAAATAGATTTTGTAGGTAGGCCTACCATCAGGGGCTTGATTTACAGCAATGGTAATTTTAGTCAGAAATCCAAATTCTGCATCAGGATGCTCAGATTGGCATGTGGATATATAAAATGAACACTTGTGTGCTATATACTGACTTGAGAGACCATATGGAGCCTTTTTCGTCCTCTGCTGGTGTCCACTTTTCAAAAATGATTTCGTCTTTCCTCCTAGCGTCTCTTTGCTAAAATATACTTTATCTCTACATAATGGAGATGGTTTGACTGCATTTACTTGTATTATATCAAGCTATATTTAGCTCCATGAGACCCAGAACTCTAGAAAAATTATTTCATAAACAAAGTCTCTGGTAATAAAGTTAGCAAAATCCTAACTACCTTATTATGCTCAAGTGTACACAGATGCAGATTTTTATATACTGAGATTATGCATTAGTTCAGCCTAACTCTCAGCTGATTCAATAGCTGGTATGTTTTAATGTGCGTTTAGTGCCTTAATAGTACCTGTGCACATTAAGCCAATATATATTAAAATCCTTACTGTAACATCAATAATGTTGCTGGCAGTACACCAGAGGTAGGTGTGCCCTTGTGGAATTTTGTAGATGACTTTTTGTTCAGGTGTTTTGGACAATAATGGTATTTGGACAATATTTTTCCTTTACTAATAGCTTATTTCCCCAGTGGCTCTGTAAAGGCTAGAAATGTAATTGTCTACCTCCTGCAGTAAGGGATATTGAAAGATTGAAAGGAAAATTACATGATCAATGTATGCCAGTGGGTCAGTGGCAGATATTGAACACCATATCTTTTGTTATAGCCATACTGCACTGTCCATTCCTTTGTGTTACAGGCCAGAAATATGGCTGTTGGGGCTCCAGTCCTGCTGTCACAGGACCCATGTGGGGCAGTTCGTTGTATCTCTGCAAATTCCCATTACCAATAAAGAGGTACATGAACTCTTGTTGCCATACACAGATGCACTGTTACCAAGGGGACGAGGACAAGATGTTCCTGCACAGATCCAGTTATGGGAACAGTTTCTGAGTAATCAGATTTAAGCACTGTCAAGTATGAAAGGAAAATCAAAGCTTGTGATGCAGATAAATTAATGTATGATACAAACATATGATTCATTCAGGTTAAAGGTAGAGATGTTGGTAATAATACTGGCTAAAATTAAGACAGTTACTTTGCAAATTATTAAGCACTCACTGTCTTTCAGGACCAGGCTCTTAGAAGAAAAACCTTCCTACTTAGATCATTCTTGATACTTAAAGTCCTGTTTTTCAGACACTGGCATGAAATCAATATAGAAGTGTACCAAGAAAAATGTCCTTAAGATTGCTAATAGACAGGAACAGTACCAATCCAACCAATCTACAGTGAAACTGCAAAATTCTTTCTCTTTTGTTAAAAGAAAATAGAACATGAACTGAATGACACATGGCTTTTCTCTTTTTTCTGTTACCATGACCACAACAGAACCAACTGGTAATAAACTGGGCTTTCTGTCTTTACAAGGCAACCATTCCAACAGCTACCAGAAAAGGTGGAGAGAAGTATTGCTGTCTGCTGTGTCTGACTAATTCTTCTAGGAGAATGCTTGGAATTTGCAGCTCTCTCTATTTCCAAGAACTAGGGAGTTGCAATGAGATAAATCTCAAAAGAATGCTGTCATTAGTTACAAAATAACCGTATTATACTCTGGAAATAAAATCCATCATCCAAAAAAAGAATCAGCACTCTTGTTACCACTATTAAAACATTTCATCTATGTGCAAATCATATAGCATTATCTATGGAGTCTGTTCTTGATTTCAACACCTGTAATATGTGTCAGCTTTAAATTTTGTCCTTTATGAATTTTAATGTTCCCCCTTTTAAAATAGGTAATTAAACTGTTAAGCCTATTAAAATAATCTTAGTCTGGAACCATTGCTTATCAGTTAATTTTACTGGGAGGGGATTAGCTAATACAGGCTAGTAATACACATGCTGCAAAGTTACTGACTTGGAATTCTTAGCCATCCAAATTACGTGGGTGTCTCACCCAGGCAATGTCTCATTATTTTGTAAGAACCATTTAGTATATATAATAATACTGACAGAGAGCTATGACTGGCCAGTACAGCCCTTGCTACATTAGTTTTGTATAAACCAATGTATGCTTGTATCTTGAGTGATGTATAGTGATTGTTCAAATTGCTTTGCTGTGAGGTGCCCTGTGTATATTTTGTGACTAGCTGCAAGAAGCTTATTGCTTCATCTCATTCACCATATGTGCTGCAAGAAAATTTCAGTTTTTACAAGGAAGACAAAAAATTTTGGAAGTTTAAAGAGTTGGCTACTAAGAAAGGTAAAAAAGAAGTGCTAGCTATTTAGTTTAAAAAATGGAAATTGCTTTTTAGATTCATTTATCCATTCTGGACTCAGTTCTGCTCCCAGTGGTGTTATATCAATGTTTTAACAGCCATCTTTGTGTTCCTTTCAAACTCTGTTCCATTTCAGACTAAGGTCTTCTGTTCTCCAGTGCATGTAAAGTTTTGATTTTAAAATCAGAAGTCCATCTAAGTAGGTTTAAACATTGGAAGGTCATTATCAGATTTCCTGACTTGATAAAAACATAGAAATCTGTTTTGAAAAAGCAGCTAAAAAACAGACTAAATGAAGTACCCTGGGCAGTTCTAGAAACAGTGCTTGTGACAGTAATGGAATTTATATGAAGAGAATGTTTCCAGTGCCATTATGGCTATTTATGCCTATATTTAAAGATAATTCATTACAAATATCTACTGAAATGATTTTCTTACTCCAGAAGAAGTTAAGTTATTTATTTATATATGAGGGGGTTTGGGAGTGTTGTTAAATCTGTACCATCTTTAATGTGTGTTCCTATGTATATTCAATTGTGGGATTGTATAGATCACATTAGTCAATGCTTACAAGCTCAGTTTTCAGGAGAGCCTTTAGCATTATGTAGGGTGCCCACAGGGAGGGAGTAAGTGTTCTGTAGCACAGCCTACAGCTGCAACTGCTGCTAGAGCAGATACAAACCTCTTAATGGTCCTGTCCTGTAGATTAGTGTGCACAATTGCCATTGCTGACTTTACATTTTTCCCATTAGTAATTTCAATGAGCTGCAGGCCAGCCTCACTCTCTTCTGGTTCATATGACAAAAGACAGGGTCATTCCCACATGACAGGCTCTAACAGCCATCCCAATTCACTGAGAAACTCTTAAACCACAGCTATGCACACCAATCTCTTCATAAATTTGAGTCTATCCCTATAAAAGCCTCTTGTGTCTGTTATATAAGAAAAGCTGGCTGTGCAGCTCTCTGAACTCCCTAAAAAAGAGGGATTTATCGTGTCTTGAGCAAGCTGAATTGGAAAAGTCCAAATAGTATTTTCACTCCAAAAGTCATGTTAAGGGAAAGCCTTGCAGTCCTGTCCGCTCCCACAACATTTAGGAATGATTCACAAGCTAATAAGTCTCCTGGTGCAGCAGAGGCACATCTGCAGTAGAGAGGGCTACAGGAAAGGTGTGCTGGCCAAAAATTCTAGAGGCCCCTGCAGAGCCAAAAGTGGAAGTGGATTTAACAAGAACTTAACAGGATAGGGCAGTGCAGGATCAAGCAGCAGCTGGAGCAAGTACTCAGAGTGGTATAACTTACTTCCACAAGCAGTCCTACTGGTTATTCATGAAAATATGTAGGTCTCTGCTAGTGGCACATCAGAAGTCATCTGGGGTGAGAATTTGTATTCAGAACATCGATGGCCATAAAGATTGTGGTTCATTCAAGACTGGTAGCGTTCATTCACAGTACAAATTTAATTTTAAACACTAATTTGATTTAGACAGTGATTACCTGGTACAATACTGCAGTTGTGTTTCCTTTCTTTAGTAGTTAACTTGATCTCTTTTTGTTACATAGACCTAGCTAGCCAATAGGAAATATGGATGATGCAAAGGACTGGAGAGAACAGAAACCAAAATAAATCATTAATCTGAACATAACCTATTAATTGCCTGCAAGAATACTATCTTTTCAAAGATTGATATTAGTAAGGGAGACACTGAAAATGAAAATGAAATTATTTACGTGTTATACAGAATTTTTTAATTCATGGAAGGGCCTCAGTGTGTGTTTTCCATGTTTTTCTAACAAACATCTCTCCAAAACAAAGCATGGCAAATATGTGCTTAATGTATCTTATGTTCTAACTAAGAAAGTACGTTGTTTTACCAAGAAAAGTAAATGCCTTCATAAATTTTAGATGTGTATTTTTCTAGCTCTGTCAAATGGCAGCCCTTGTTATACTGACTGTGAAAGGTGTTGCACAAAGTTATTGATGTATGAATAAGAGGTATGGCTACCTGTTTTAGCAATTTGAAAACATTATTTCTGAATAAGCATGAAGTTATTCATAAATTCAGAAGTCAAACCACCATTAAGCTAAACACATATACAAACTGGCATAGCAGAATGTGATACAAATGACAACCCAAAACTTGCCATTAATCATACAAGTTGTTAGGAGGTGTTATTTTGCAACTGAAGCAGCTGGAAGAATGAGGCATAGGTAAGTATATACCACTGTAGGGAGTCAGTTTCTTAATATTCTTGACATTTATTTTGATCATCTGATGATGATCAGAATAGCTGGTCAAAACAGGTGATCATAAGAAATCAGAAGCCACTCTCATTTTGAGAAGCATATAAGAGTACAGCACATCAGCCTTCGACATAGGTGTTCACTAATTCTCTTTCTTTCTATTTCAGAAGTCAAGAAGATTTTTTCTTATCACATTTTTTGGCTCTATCAGCTGGATTGCATTTTTTTCTTACTTAATGGTCTGGTGGGCACATCAGGTAAGGAGATGCTACTGGTACAAAACACAAGCCCTGCATTGTGTTTTGGGCTGTGAGAGATCATTTAGAATCAGAGTCCATCATCTATCTCATACTGAGTAGTGCTTTATTTTAGGAGCTGCAACCATGGATAAAGTAAATCACTACTCAGTAAATGGAAAGTAGTTCAGAGAGCTGTGGTTGTCCAGACCACAGGACTTGATTATTCTGGTAACATCAGAGCTATCAGCAACTGCTTGTCAATACCTACTGGTTCTATCTGACAATTTTATCTTTCTCCTGAAACATGTGGAGATCTGTGAAAATGAGTAATTCTCCAATCTTGCCTATATTCTCCAAGCTAGTTGGCAAGATCCAGGATAATAGTCCTGGTTAAACAGGTTTACAGCAGAAATCATTTCTTCACTGCAGGACAATTTTTTGATGGTTTTGCTTAAACCCTTTTAGGTTGGAGAGACCATTGGTATTAGCGAAGAGATCATGGGTTTGACTATTCTAGCTGCTGGCACATCCATTCCTGACCTTATTACCAGTGTTATTGTAGCACGCAAAGGTCTGGGGGACATGGCTGTATCCAGTTCTGTTGGAAGCAACATATTTGACATCACAGTGGGGTAAGTCCTACAAGAAAATTGTGTCTATTGTAACAGGTCTTTTCTTCTTAGCATGTTGTTATGGTTTTGTCAAGGTGTTGCTTACAACAATTTTTTGCTACTGATGCCTAAAAAGAAAAGCGTGCAAATATGCAACTGATGTTACTATTTCAAGTGTTCCGAAATTTATAGACATTTGCATGACAGAATTGTTACAAATTTGTTGCTTAATTCTCTCTTTGATACATTGCAGAGTTGCCTAGGCAAGTGAATTGCACTTAAAAAAGTATGCAAGAGCATTGTTCCAAGAAGGAATTTCTGATATGTTTTTGTCAGGTTGCTGTTGTTTGCTTATGTTACCACTCATTGTGCTTATACTAGAGCTTTCTTTATAAGTGATGACTGGGAAAAATTCATTGCCTCTTCAATATTTAACATGTTTGCTGTAATAAAAACAGAACATTATTGTCTTGTGTAGCTCGTTTAGGCTGTTGTTGACATGTGATTTTTTTATATACCTGGCAAGTCCCAAATTACAAACCAATTCTCTATTACCACAAAGGACCCTTTGTACAGCTCTGACAATGTGAAGCAATATGATTGTGCAGAAATGTGCTATTCACTGCTTCACGGCACCTCTAGGATAATGATGCATGGCATGTGGTTGGAAGTCAAATTTCATTTTGACCTTTTGAGACTGAGGTAGATCAGGTCCAGAAATGTTGTAGTCTATGACTTAGTGTTTTAAAAATATGCAGGAAATATACAGACAAACTCTGTCTTTATTCCCACATTTCTATCTTCAACACAAGGTAAAGGCACTGAGTGTCATGTCCATACTCTCAGTTTCTCCAGCTTTTGTTGTTTCTTCCTATCACACACACAGAAGAACAGATCTAGTCATAGCTGTAGTCCCAAACTGCCTAGTCATAGAACAGATCATGGTTTTTGCTACTGAAAATATACAAGCAACTGCACAGGTACAAAAAGGGATCATGACATTAGAGTGGATAATAAATAGCTTCTTTACTCCTCTCTGCTAGCTAATGGCAAAACCTTTGGACACATCAGAAAAACTGGGTCTCTTTTTTCTATTAATCCGAAAGCATAAAGTGTTTGAAATAAATCTATAAGCAGCAGACCTGCAAAATACATGAAAACATTATTCACTACCATGTGCTTCAACTTGGTGCATTACAAAACTTTTCTCTTTTGCAATACTTTCTTACTTTTCTTAAAATTTTTAGTCTTCCTGCTGATGGAAGTGTTGTTGTCCTGTACCAGTCTGCTAGATCTGGTATATTTACAACAGAAACGATACAATTGAACTGTAGGCTGTTGTAGTTAGTACTGAGGCTGCAATAAATTATTCTCTCTTGAGCTGCTTATTCGAAGTTTGAATGTTGTGAGCTTCTGACAACTCTCTTCATGCTTTCTAAGCCTGCTAAGCTCCGATCAGTGGCTTAAATATTTATTTCTGCTTGACATCTTCCAGAGGGATGTTGCCTCATTCTGTGGCATCAAAGATGAGAAATGGAATGACAGCAAATACAGAAATAGAAGTTAAGCTGGAGTTCAGTTGAAATTCACATTTTAACACAGGTTTATACAGAAAATGTGAATCAAGGCTTTTAAGAGCCAAATTTGGAGGGCAGCACCTTGCAGATTTCTGATTCTTCATGGCAAGGACATGTCTTTATGTGAGCTATCCTCCTGTCATGAAGGCTCTTTGAAAGAGAGTGGAAGCAGATTCTTCCACAGATGGTCTGAAATTCAGAAACAAGTGGAAGGGGTCTTCCTGCTCACAGACAGGATGCCAAGTGGTTTGTCAGCCAGGGGAAATATAATTCACCAAGATAACTGGTGGAAGAGTGGAGAGCCCAAATGCCCTGTGTTCTCCCCAAGAACCACAAGCAAGTGGACATATTGCATTTATGTACATATTAGAATTCTGAGATTAAACTTTTCCTGCCTAACTTCATGCAGGAAGCCTCTGGTTGTAGTCTGAAGTGCCTCCAGAAACTTTCTAGTGTCCCTTTACGCACCTCTGCAATGTTTCCAATTTATTTTTCTGTTTTTTAACAGCCTTCCTCTTCCGTGGCTCCTGTATACTGTCATTAACAGCTTTGCCCCAGTGACAGTCAGCAGCAATGGTCTGTTCTGTGCGATTGTCCTCCTTTTCATCATGCTGCTCTTTGTCATCCTCTCCATCGCCCTCTGCAAGTGGAGGATGAATAAAATTTTGGGCTTTCTCATGTTTGGGCTTTATTTCGTGTTCCTGATTGTCAGTGTTCTCCTGGAGGACAAAGTTATCCAATGTCCTGTCTCCATCTAGTGGAAAGTGCTGTTTCTTGAGAAAAATAAGACAAACACACACACCCCACCCCCCCAAAAAAAAAAAAAAAAAATATATATATATATCAAAATGAAACAGCAAAAAAAACACAACGAAAAGGTTCTATGAGAAAAACCCATGGATTCGTAAATTTCCTCTCCCTCAATTTTAAAAGAGAAAGAAATAAAAGGATACAAAGGGTGCATCTTAGTGCCGAAGAATGACCTCTGCTGGACAGTGCAGTCACACGTGGAGGACTGAGTCCAGCTGTGCTGAGGTTTTGTTTATTTGCTGCAGAACATCCTTGCTACTCAGTACTGGCGATGCTGCACACACATGGAAATGACAAAAGCTACTGCTTCTCCTACGCCTATGGTACATACCCACAGACTTCTCATTCTCTGTAGTAGAATGCACAGACACACAGCGTACTCCGTTCTCAAAGCTCTCATCTTCTAAGGGGAATGCTAAAATTAACTTTGTGGAGGCACCACCACACACGTACCCTGGTATGGGATTTTTCTGATAATCTTCTGAAACGCCCGAGTGGAAAGCATACACTGAGCACATGAGTCACAGACAGGGAAGAGCTTGCACATCTCTTCATATAAGTGGGTTTATATGATCTGATTTCAGCAAAGCCAGGGACTTCATCAACGTTTTGATCCTCTGTATCACAGGTCTGTAACACCAATCAGCAGGATGTTAATGGTGGTTTATTACATCTTGCAAAACTCTTCAGATTCCAGAAACTCTGGCTCTGGCACTGTGAAGGAGCCATGCTGCCTGGTCATTTTGTAACTGGTGCAGATTTTCATTGCATTCACATGCAAAGACCAGAATGGGGATACTCTTGCTTCTCTAATAGCAACGCAGCATGCAGTGAGATCTCACAACTACTATATCAACACACCGTTTTTTCTAATGAAGCAATATCAACAACAGTACCAATGGCATTCAGCTGTTGTTATTATTATGAGTTTTCCTTTTCATGCCAGAAGAAAAAGGCTAATTTACTTATGCATAGAATTTCATAAAGAAAATAGAAGTAGCTGTAAAGTGGAAGCCTAATTGCTAAAGTGGATATACATTTTACAGGCTATCTTTCATTATTACTCGGAGTTTAAGGACCTACACAGCTACATATAGCCTTTGCTGGAAGAGATCTCCAGCTAATGTACAAAGCTGGGGCAGTTCATATTTGCTCTTATATGTCTTTAAACTAGGTGGGAGAAAGTAACCATTTAAATGTAGTGGAGCTGCAGGAAACCTACATGATAATTCTTCAGTATTGCTGGAAGTGTGAATGTCTAAAGAAGCCCAGGAAGGAGTGAAAGTGCAATATTCTTTTACTGAGTTCCTGAGAGAAGGAGCAGGTCCAAACCTAGAACAAAAAACACAAGGATGGAGAAAGTAATGAAGTATTTGTATTTCCTGTAGTTTGGAAGATGATTTAAAAAAAAGAGAAAAAAAAAAGGATGACTGGAATAGGTGTTAAGAAATTATTTCAGATAATTGTTGTTTCTTTGTTGAAGTCTGTTGTGCAGTTAGAGTTCATGAAATTTCAGTGCATTTCTGTCATCTGTTTCAGCACTGTTTTGTATTCGTACTGTGCTCACATTGGCAACGCTATGCTCACAGCTGTGTAACAGAAGGCTCAGCATATTTTGTCTTGTCTGTTTTTCTGTGCTCCATGCTGTTTGTTTCTCACTCATCCCCTTTGCCCTTTAGTGGTTTCCTGTTATATGTGTTCGTGTATAACAGTATCTGGCTAGAGAGTAAGGACATTGACAGAAAGCAATAATTGAGAAAACAGTAAAAAAATACATATTTAAAATTACTAGAAGTTAGTTTTATGTGATATCATGAAGAAAAAACGTGAGATACTAATTAACAAAAGCAAGAAAACTAGGATTTACAATGTCTGCTAATTGTGTCTTGTCCTAAGGTATTAAGTCCTAGCTACAGTCAGAATCAGTATTTGATCTTAACCATACATTTGCAACACCTCTTGCTTCTTAGTGCTTTTTAGTGTGAGCTTCTCTCATTGTGAGCAAAACTTTTTCTGTGTATTTAAGATCCTGTCTTAACAACAGTACTGCACACCTCTTAACTTTTGTTTCTATGGGTGTACACAACAGAAAGATTCGTACCTACATACCCACAGTGCACTCTACTGACAAGAATAGCAGTCTTGCAAGAGCAAAACTATAACCCAAATTCCGAGCACAGATGAAACAGGTGTCTGTCCGAAAATACATATCTGACTCCACAATATAATCTGTCCCAGAGGAGTCACCAAGTGCTTTTATTTCTGATGACAGTGCTCAAAACAGATGATCCTTTACCCAAATGAGCAGAATAAGACAGAACAATCTAGAAGAGTGTGTGAAGAATCATAATAGTTCCGTGTATGTGGGTGCTTACCATATACAAAGATGCTCAGATTCACTGGTCTGACATTTCAGATCAAAAGACCAAGCAAGGGCAAGGGTCTGACCTCTGTTCGGTACATTACTCTTTTATATATATATATATATATATATTTTTTTTTTTTTTTTTTTTTTATGACTTTGTGGCCAGCATGGTATAACTCCCACACTGGAAAGGAAATAGCCCTGCCTGATTTTGAGAGCTGTAAGAGCACTCTGGTACACTCTGCAAAGTGAGGACAGTGACAGCAGAGACTACTGCCCCACTGAGGGTAGGTAGGGAGGAGAAAGTAGCCAACTGAAAGCTCTATGCACTGGGAATATTTCAGTCCAAAGCTAGCATCAACAGCTTGAAGGAAGAAGTTAATGTGAAGGACTAAGGTCTGGTATCCTGCAATGGCTTTTATATACTGTCTTAAAATATATCTGACTCATTTCTTTCCTGTGTCTGTTTGACCCTATCAACATATTTATCTTGGAAGATATTAAAAGTAATTTTTTCCCCTCAGGAATGAGACACCTCACAGTTCCCATTGCCTTGCATCTGCTGGGCAGATCATTACTCAAATGGCTGAATAACTGTGTGGTCAGTGGCAGCTCAGGCCCAGAGGTAATAGGAGAGATTTCAGTTGTGTGGTGCTTTCTGTGGAGGCCGGCTGTGAATGCTGGTTAGACTTAGCAAGGAAACTTTTTACGTAACTGCTGGGGTAAACTGTTTCAGGATACTTCCACACTGATGTGCTCTCTGATTATAAGGCAACAGCTGTACTTGTAGAGAAAAGAGAGGAATGGTATGGAGGGAGAAGCATGGCCACTTATCCCATGCAGGAGTTTGAAAATCTTAAACTGGAGTTCTGAAAGGACAGCCAAGAGCTGCTGCAACCCATGGACTGGATGTCCATAAGCTGTCCAGGATCAGTGCTGCTGAAAATGCACACCACTTCTTAGGACGCTCCTATTTTACAATTACAGCAAATTTCCCGACATAAAGTGTTTCTTGTTGTTCATAACTGTTTCATTCTGGGATCCGTGAATGTTTCTCAACACTGTAAACCTAGGAGTCGAGATTAAATTTATATTTTCTTCAGACAAATTTCTGAATGACTTCACTAGGGATCTGGTCTTGCAGACTGCCCGAATTCTGCAGTGAGTTGGTCAGCCTTGAAGTCTCTTCCGTCTGCCTGTATGCCTGTGCTCAATTATTCAGCTGATGCTGCTGTCTGCATAATCCTTATGAAGAATAAATGAATAATTAATACAGAAATTGGTGTTATGATCAAGATGTTGTGCTAGCTTAGTGTTTTCAGGACAACACCAAGTTGGCAGCACAGTAAGATAGGAACACAACATCAGTTTAAATGGCCAGCTCTCTGTGGCACTATCACACCTCAACAGAACCAATGTTGGACGTGATTTTTGGAAGGGATTTCTAGTAGTATTTAAGTAGGATCCTGGGTTGGATGGTAACCCATTTTAAAGATTTTCTGCACTAACTTCATTGGAATTAAAGAAAAGAATGGGCCCCACCAGAAATACCATCAGAGTCCTACAGGTATTTGCTGTTTTCCACTTAAAAAAAAAAAAACAACCAACCAACCAAACAAAAAGCTTTCCTCTGCAGAAGTCACCATGGTTAAATCTGTAGGGTAAATGCTATAAAAGTGATAAAAAGTGTGATATGAGGATAATCTCTTCAAGAACTACATATAAACATGGAAAAATCTTTCAGCAAACTCTGTGTATTTTAAATTAACTATTTTACTGAAAAATAGTGCTTTCTTTTAGTGCAGACAGGCTCTCTGTGTCTGTATGCCTCTGCTTATTTATTGAATTGATGTGGCTGGATGTGTAATCTTCATGACGCATAAAGCACAGTTGCTGACAAAGAAGCTTATCTAGATGTCATTTGATCTTTGTAATGGCAATGAACCTGCCATGTAATTTCCGCATACACTACTCTGAAAAATTTGTGGTCACTGTCACTCATGGTACTGTTGTGTGTGGATATGAAGGTCTACAAAGCAGTAGGTTAAACATGTGGCTAATCCAAGTACTGTAAAAATAGTTGCTTAGAAATATTCTTAACGTTTGGCTGTTTTTAAGGGATTATTTCTCTAGTTGTCTTTTACTTCATTACCTATTTTGCAAAAAAGGGGATATAGAGTGTTTTTAAATTATTATTTCAGCAGTAATTCATTAAATAGCATCTTGTGGTCCATATAACTTATGTTCTGAACCAAATATAAGTCTGTATCAGATCAATTTATTTAATTTAGAACAAGGAAATAATCCCTTCTCGAACAACTGACCCACTGAAAACTAGAATATTTCTGCCATTAACTTGGGCAAGATACAGGTTTTTATCTTGGGATCCCATATTTCATAAATACACTTGTGTAACAAACGTAATTGTCCTGGGAGCTGTGTACAAAGAGAAAAATTGCATTCATTTATAGTCTTGGAAACCATTTTACCTCTTGTAAATAACAATGACACAACTGAGAAAAAGGCAGGGTTAGTTCCTTTGCACAAGTGATTCTTGTTTTCCTGTTATTCCTGGAAATTTTGATGCAAGAACCTGCAGCTGGAAACATCTGCAGGAAGTGATTTTGAGAATAGCAAATGTGATAGCTTGCACTTAACAGTGTGGAGAAAAGTCCTGCTCCAGCCTTCCAACAGATGTGGATTTCACCCCTGGTTGATGTTAAAATGATCCTTCTTGGATGTGTTGCTATCAGTTACAGGACTATTGGTATTGAGAAACTCGGCATTTCCACTGAGACAGGGGAGAGTAACTTTCAGACTGAAGTTATGCAATTTAGTGCACCCATCTGCTACAAAATTCATTTATGGATCACAGCCCCATAGTCCAGACAAGTCATCCTGTAGATCTGCTGTGTGTTGCTAGTCATTAGTGTATAGCACCTCAGGACTTGTCTGCCTGGATGGGTGCAGCTAGTTTGCATGTTGCCCTGCCCATTCTCCTGCCTGGCTGGACATAAGCCATGCCTTCTCCAGAAGCCATGTAATCACGTAAGTGTTAGCACTGAGCCTGTGCTCCCAGCCAGCCAGATGCAGGTCAGCCCCAGTCTAGAAGCCATGTCAGCACCTGGACCATGGATAGACCAGACACGCAACTGGCCACATTGTTCCTATATGAGCTGTAAGTGGCTCAGAACAAGACTGAGTAAGAAATAATGTAATTCAAGATTGGTAAATGAACTGTACATTCATGTAGATCCACTGTAAATTCACCACTCATTAAACACAAAACCAACCCAAACAATGAAATTTGTATGTGTTTTTAAAGAGCTTGCACTTTACTGTATTTTTACTTTTATTTTATGTCACATAGTTGTCTTAATGCAAAAAGAAGCCATAAAAAAACCCAGAAGACTAGTATGGGGTTTCTAAATAAGGGGATCGTTAATTTTAAAGACTCAATTTCATCTCTTTGTTTAAGGTATAATATAAAATACTGTCAAATAAATGTACAGTAAAGCAGGATCTGGTTTTGCCTTAGTTATGCTATGAGTAATTCGGGGGGGTTTGCTCATACTCTTGAGCTTCCCTGTGGGATTGTACAAAATGCTGCACACTGCCTTTGCAGCAGGGGATCAATCCTGCCATCCTTGTTCACCCCAGAAGAAGGAATACAATGCTTGCAGAGTCAGGCCCAATGAAGGACTTAAATCATCCTGTTATTCTTAATGCTTTCTCCCACTGAGATCACAGTCAAGGAAGCTCCTCATATTTTAGTGAGTTTATAAGAGATGAGTTACTTCTGTCCTTCTGTTTTACAAAAGAGTTAAAGTTTTCAGGGTCAGGATATCCAATAAAAATCAACCATTTCTTTTAATCCCCCATCAACATTATCTAATGTCAAAGGGATTTCACTTGGTTTTATATTACTTTCCATTATCAAGATCTCTGTTACACAGTTTTAATTTTGCAATCCTGACTCTGGGGAGTTGACTCACATGAGTAGAAATTATTTCTGTCACTTCGAATGTCAAGATCAGGCCACTGTATGTGAAAATAATAGTAGCATGTAATAACAGACAATCAGATGTTATTTTTGTAATAAAGCTTTTTTAGCTTGTTTGTTTCGCTTCGTAGTTTCATACTCTTTCATCTCTCATTTTCAACTTATTGTAAGAAAAATCTGAAGAAACCCCCCATTTTACTCATTTCACACTTAAAAAAAACAAACCAAACCAAACCAAAACATTGCCATGGAAGCCAGTCCAGGCACCCCCCTGAAAATTCCAGTTTTTCTCATGTGTTTATGTGTATGGATCATTATTTACCAGATGAAACTCTTGTATCTCTGAATCACTATATTCTCTGTGAATACAGATTTGTATATAGTATGGAAGTTACCTTTATTTGTACATAGGCTCTCGGAAATAATCCCTTCTATCAAAGGTCCTAACTTCACTGTATCTACAGAATGTTTCACTGTGGCATGTACACTTTCTCATGATATCAATAGAGAGCTCTTCCCATAAATCACTATGTAGTTGAGTTGTCTAAGCATGAATAACAGTAGCAACAATAAATACTAATAAAAAGACTTAACAGTGTGGGTTTTGCTCAGTATCTTCTGTCTTAATTGTCTTGGACTTGCTATGGCTCTGAAAACAGTATTTTAACTACCTGCTCTTGGTTGAATGATGGCCTGCACTGCTACTCTTCATCGTAAGTGTTCAAGCAGCACTAACTGCCTCTTGCCATGTCACTGTGCTACCTGATGTGCATACACAGAGTAAGGAAAACATCTAGTTCCAGTGAGCTTAAAATTTAGTTACAAGGATTTTTTGTCTACAGCCCAGTGTGAATCCACCAGACAAAAACTTCCTGGAGCTGTGTATGTCTGGAGCTCTGTGGCCCATTTGGGCCAGGTTCCCCTACATTTCTTTACTGACACACTTGCTCCCAGCTTATTTTGAATGTCATTTTTCAGTTTGACATCTTCTTGTTTAATCTACAGGCTGCACAGTCTGTCATCCTTGCCACCTGAGATGTTTGGCTTTTTTTTAGTCTGTATCGTGGTTTGAGCCCAGAGGGCAACTGAGCACCACACAGCCGCTTGCTCACCCCTTCCCCCCCAGCAATGGAAAGGAGAAAAATAAAACCAAAAGGCTCTGGAATCAAGATAAGGACAGGGAGGGGTGGCTTACCCATTTTCATCGGCAAAAGACAGACCCATTAGGGGAATTAAAAAGGAACATCAATTTAATTCAAACACTAACAACAACACTTAACAGACAGAGTAGAACTGTGAGAAGCATTACCACATCTTTGAAACACCTTTCCCCACTCCTCCTTTCTTCTCAGGTTCAGTTTTACTCCCAACTTCTCTACCTCCTCCCCACCAGTGGCACAGGGGGCAGGGAATGTGGGGTTATGGTCAGTTCCACAACTCCTTCTTCCTCAGGGGAAGGAATCCTCACGTTCTCCCCATGCTCCAATGTGGTCCCCCTCTCACAGGAGACAGTCCTCCATGAACCTTCTCCGACATGAGTCCTTCCCACAGGATGCAGACATTCCTGACCTGTTCCACTGTGGGTCCCTCCCACATGTTGCAGTCTTCCCAGTGCCGAAGTACAAGAGCAGGGGCTGCTTCTGCCTTCAGAGTCCTGGCCTCCTTCAGGCACAGATGACTGGCTCTGGGGTGGAGTCCTCCACAGGCTGCAGGTCAGCATCTGCTCCACTGTGGATCTCTGTGGTGGTGGGAGGAGGGGCCCTGCTATCTCACCACAGGATATGGGGTGCAGTCTCTGCTCCAGCACACACACACACACACACCCTTCCTGCTTCTTTCTTTCACTGACCTTGGTATTCACATATGTATCCTCCTTGTAACTCCTCCTCACAACTCTCAACTCATCCCAGGTTCCCCTTCTTAAATACGTTATAGAAGAAGCATAGCCACTGTTGCTAATTTGCTCCAACTTGGAGCTGGGGGAACTTTGAGAAGCTTCTCACAGGGTGCCACCTCTGTAGCCCCCTCCCCTCCTACCAAAAAACCCTACTACACACACAAACCCAACACAGTCTGTCATGGGATGAATTATACTTTTAAACAGAAGAATGATCTTCCATAAATAACAGCAAAAGAAAATCAGTAATGTTAAAAGTTTCCCATAGTCAACCAAACTTTTAATCTTCATAAGTTATAAAAGGTTGGAATGGATGTTATTACTTACTATTTCTCCTGTATCAGCCCGAGGAAGTCACCTTCCACGGTGAATCAAGACATTTTTTATGATGCATTGTGCCAGCCCTGAAGGTGGGAGCTCAGGACAGAGATTCTTCAGTCATCTTTAATCATACTACAGCTTTAAAATTTTAGAGTGGAAACAACAAAAAAACCTTGCAAACAGACAAAGAGTTAAGAATAGTGATTGTCCTGAGACATTCATGCCTGCCAAATGGGAAAAAGAACAAGGCCGAACACATCCTACAAAAAGCAAAGTTGGTGCATGCTGCAAGTCACAGAGGCAGAAGTGGGCTGCTTTGAAATTTAGGTTGAAGATAAAGAGTTTGAAAGACTGTGTTAGGCTTTATCTGAGAAGTGAATATGCGTACACACATACACAGAGACATTCACAGCTATGCTCTGTGGTACTGTGTTGTCTTACCCCACTGATTGGTAACATTTGGCACCTTCATCAACTTCAGCCACTTTTGAAAGGAAGTAGAGGATTTAAAAACCTTCATTACCACAGCAGGCCTTGATGGCATATGACTGGTGTGAGCAGGGGAGTGAGAAAAATATATTAAATATCCTTCTCAATCCTGCTTGGGAATGATGGCAAGTTTCCTTGCCATGTGTTTCCCCTTCAGTGAACAAGTACTTTACTGCCTTGTCTGCAATGCCTGGGGAAAACAAAACGAAACAAAAAAACCAACCAACCAACCAAACAAACAAACAAAAAAAAACAAAAACAAAACCAAAAAACAATTCTGTTTATTCACTATTATTTTTGCATTTACAAGTAGTTATATTTGGGGTGTTTATTGACAAAAAGAAAAGTGATGCATGTTGTTAAAACCAAGTGTTTGATCGCTCCCCTGGAAAGAGTTCAGAGCTTCCCTTTGAAACAGGGAATTCCCTTCCTGTCAACACATCTCAGAGAAATAAATATTTGTGCCCAATACTTGCAAAGAATACAGAGAGATATACTACAGATTGTATCCCTAAAGAGATGTTTTAATCATCCCTTCATCTCCTATTTGTGCAAATTTCCTCATCATAGTTTGGAAAACATACATTTGTTGAGGGCAAGGATTTTTTGGGGTAGGGTGATGAGGTACCAGTGATTAGTCTGTACATCTACATTATTGTCTCTGAGGCCTCAAACCCAAACTGAACCATTTGTTGCATGCTGAATATGAAGGTCATCGGCAGAGAAGTTACCAGCATCCCCTTGCTTGAAGACCACCAAATTGGATATTGAAGCAACAGATTGACAAGGATCTTTGAATGAACGAGAAACATCCCACAAATCTTTGAGTTACCTGCAACCACTTTTCATCTGTCCACCTGCAATGACAAGTAAATACCAGCCTTCCACTGCAACTTTCCCCTAACCACTGCCATAAATGTGTGAAAATGCACCTGCTGGTTCCTCTGTAAAGGAGGATTGTTTGCAGTGGGGCTGGGTCAGAGCTGAAGAGGTGGTCTGGCTTGCTGTCTGAGGCAGAGGAGGAGGTGGGTGTGAGGGTGTGTTTGTGTGTACTGTCTTGCTAGGGAAAATATGCCCCTTCGCTGGACCTTGAGTTTGATATTTTATTCCAAAGAGAAAGGCAGAAGGGAAAGACTATGAAGAAAAATGATCAGTTACAATTTATGTCTAAAAGGACACATAATAGACTGCTTTCCTTCCTGTCTGTCTGCAGCCCAGTTTAATTGTATAGTAAAGTGAAGGAATGGTTTATTCACTGTTTCAATTTGGTGACAGCAGAAAAACCACTGCTCCTATTCACCTTCCCACCCTGACCCTTACTGCCTTTCTTGGTTGTTAACTAGGATGAAGGAAAAGGGAAACTACTCCCACAATTTTCTAAGCCCCTGTGCAGATCTAGATCTACTCTCATCGTCATGTACTACCTGCCTGCCTTGATACTGCTGGTCAGAATTTGCTTCCCACAGTAATGGCCAATTCTTGCTAATCTAGTTTTTGCATTTTCTTGACTATGGGATTGTAGTCTGATCCTCTGTAGCTATGAGATACTGCTAGCCAAAACTAACTCCAAAGAGCTTGACTTATGTGTCTCACAACATGCAAGACCATTCAAGAAAAATTAGTTCAGTTATTGGAAACATTAGCTCCTTTCAGGCTAATGTGTTGTATTGTTCAGCATTTGTTTCTCCACTGAAAGTGCCAGTAAACCCATTTTCTGTTATATTTTATAGCTTATTTTTTAAAAATTATTTCCTAAAATCCAGTCTACTCTCCACTCAAAACAACAATTTTCAGGAAAGTTCTTATCAGAAACTGACTGAAAAGCAGAAATTCCTTAAAGTTAATTATTGTTAATAAACAATTTTGCTCAAAAAAGAAGACTCCTGGACAACCTCTCCCCACCACACCATCTGTTCTGCTAAAAACCTGTTTAAAACCCACCAGGGTGTTTTCCTGGGAAGGGCAGAGGCAAGCATGGTGGAGCCAAACCTGCCCTGTCCTCAGCCCTGGTTTTACTGCCCTGGGCCTCTCCACACAGCTGCTCCCTCTACTCCCCACACAGCTAAACTGACGTGTGGAAAGATGACTTTACAACCAGCAAGGTTTTAAAGTAGGTATGTTTATTCAGCACTGGACACACAGGGGATCGCTCCTCCACAGCGTGCGTGCCCTGGAGCCAAAAGCGGCCCCCTTTTATGATGCCAAAGTTACATATTCACCAGTCCTAATACACCTGCATTATAATTCCAGGAATAGGGAGGGAATATTACAATTAATTCTGGGAAATCATTAACATATCCCCCGCCCCAAGTCCCTCCCCATCACACCTGCGCAATGTCTCTTGGTGGTCGTGGGCAGGGGTCTTCTGATGAAGGCTCATAGTCTTTTTCACTGTGCTCTCTAGTTGACCCTTGCTTTTGCGCACTCAGTTCTGTAGTTACACACATCTCATCCTTCAGGCCTTGTTGGATACGGTTTGTTGCTAACTTTCAGCTCCTTTATCTTGGTGGCTCCTTCCTTATCTCAAGGACAATGGTGGGATCATCCTGTTTTTCTCTCATTCATTAGCAAGGTAGTTATCTAGTTAATGTTTTCTTGAGAAACTATCTGGCTAATGCCTCTTCATTCATACATCACAGCATCCAAAATAAATCCTGTCACAAGGGGTGCCCCAGCAAGTGGAGGCAGGCAATACTCAGAGCATGGAGAGCTCAGGCCTTTTTTACCCCTCATAAGGCTCGAGCAGTGGAAAGGACCCCCACCTAAAAGCAAATCCATGCCCTGGCTAAACAGTCTGAAACAGTCTTAGGATAACTCAGTTTCTCTGCTTGAAGTTTTGTGTTATTTACACCTGGGGTTTTCACCCTTTTTTATCTTAATT